TCAAGCAATAGCTCTGAACAGGCACACGAGACCCTAATAGTTTCAAGTCTTGGTGGTGATAAGGACTGGTGGAGTTGATTTGCAGCCTTGGTGATATTCTTTTAAAGCAAATTTATAAATTGCAAGATTTTTCCTGACGCTCCCTTACCTACAGCTTGCACCATGTGTAGCTTCTTTGGACAAATCACTTACGCTACTAAGCCTGAGCTTTCTTATGTATAACATGAGGATAATTGTTCTCACCTATGAGAGTTTTTAGAGGGCGGAATAGAGGTTGAGTTTACAGAATGCACAGCACATACTTTCCCATTAACTCCTCGACAAAGATATCCGATCACTACAATAATTACTGTTATTCACATGCCATGGATTCCTGTCTGTTCCTAAGGATTCTCTTCATTTGATCTTGAAATGGTCTTCTGGCATTAACATCACGTTCATGACATTAACATAAAGCAATGACAGGATCCACGACAATGACATTCTGTCCGTTCTGCAGTCAGATGAGGGAAAACAAAGTTACTGGACTGCATTTTTCATCACTGATTGGCTTGTGCCATAGTTAACCACCTATAAATCACTACTGTGTGTTGAGTTTCACTGGTGTTGCTGGGAGGGATAACACAGCTTTTCCTACTACTTTTCCAGGTCACTGCTTTCAAATGGTGTTCCTCTCAGCCAGGGGTCTTTGTTGCTGTTGATGGGAGAGTATCTAGGGAGGGTGAGTAAGGAAGACACTTTGAACTCACCACAGCAGCTTGATTTGCTTTATCCACATTATAAATTGAGGCTTCTATAATATTTCATTTGAACAAAGGGATCCTTGGTTGAAATGGATTGAAAACCATGACTTGCCTAGGTCAGTTTCTCCAAGCATGGCACAAAGAGCATTTGGTATAATAAGGTTTGTAAGAGGATACTATCTATACAGTTTCTGGCATAATATCTATACAGTTTCTGGCATGGGGTCAGGCACTTTCCAAGTATGGAAAATACAAATATGTGGAGGAAATGGTTCCTGTCTCTGAGGAATTTACATTTCAGCGAGGAAGATAGGCCCCAAACAAAACCAAATAATCAAGATAAAGATTTTCATGAAGGGCTTTGGAAGGTTGGAGGAAGACTCAAATAATTCTGCCTTGGGAAATGAGGAAACTTCTCATTCAAGTGATAACATCTGAACTGGTTCTTGGATGATAACAGAATGTGTCCGTGTTAATGGCCGGAGGGAGTCCGGGAAGAGAGAAAAGCGTGAGGGAAAACATCAGAACGTGAGTGCTGGCTGGGTTGGAGAGGTTTTTCCTGAGCAGAATTAACAGGACTGAAATGAATTGCAGGTATAGGATTGAAGGGAAATAGATGAGGGAGGTAAGGATGACAGTGAGATCTCTCATTTGAAAAACTAGGTGAATGACATCACCCAAGGATGTTGGGAAGAAAAACCCGAATGGAACAGGGTTAAAAATGTAATCCTGGATCCTCTACCACTTGAGGGGAGGAAAGACAATGAAAGGGGAGGACCGGTCAATGAAACAGTGTACGGGTGGGTGAAGAAGGGAGAGGAGAAAAAGCAGAGTCCTGGAAATCAAGAGTTTCAGATGATGGTGGCTGCTAGTGATAATGATACCGAAATATCTGACCGAGTGAAGGTGGATCATAACCTTCGTAACTGTGCATCAAGGAGTGCCTGGGGACTTACGTAAAAACAACTTTAATGGCACATGCAGGATGGAAATTAGAGAGGAAGGAGTCCAGTTGTTAATGGGGAATTGAAGAAATAGATATCAAGAGTAAGGTTATGTTTTTCAGTAAATTTTGGGGTAGATATGAAGGAAGAGATACAGTGAGAGCTTGACAGAGAGGTGAGATAAGGAGAAGGAAACATTGGTGTAGGAAGGAAGAAAATGGAACATTTCCTGAGCACTTACTGTGTGCTGAATTTTTGCTAGGCCCTTTCAGATAGGAGAAGCTTGAGCATATGTGTGGGCCGAAAGGAAGGAAGGAGTGAGAAAGTGAAATTATAGAAGTTATTAAAGAAAGAAAAAGGAAAATTGGAGGTGATAATGGGGAAAGGAAACCCCATGAGGGAATTCACCTTTGCTAGATCATTGGGATGGGTTTAGAGAGTGCAATGTGCTTATATTGGGCTGCAAAGTTTCTGATATTTTTATAATTTGGGTTTCTGTCTGACCTGAATAGAGGGCTTTTCTAAAATGGAAATAGATTTGTTAAAATGACAGCTTGAGTTTTATACTAGCTAACATTTATAGAATGCTTACTCTGTGCCAGATACTCTGTGAAGCCGTTTATATGCGTTGCTCCCTTTACCCAGCAACCCTGTGGTGGAGAGATTATCTTCGTCCCTATTTTATACAGGAAGAAACTGACACACAGAAAGATTAACAGAGCTGGTATATGGTAGAGCTTAGATTTGAACCCATGTAGTCACTGTCCAGAGCTTGTGTTTTTAATCCCTCTGTGAAACGGTCTATCCAATGGTATTTCTGCACGAATTACACAATGACCCTTAGTCCACTCTTATTCCGGACTAAGGGACAGGTTCTGGCTATTTGGTTTTCTGCCATGCTCAAGGAAAGGTGCACTCTACTTCAAGAAGCTCATGAATATCAAAACCTTAATCACAGCTATTTGGATGACACGAGTTCACGCTTTACAAACCAACCAGGCCCTAGTCATATTAAAATCAAAGTTGCAAAATAAAGAGACGTTCCGAAAAACCTTGTCTGCTTCATTTAGATAACAGTGTGCAGAATGAATTGAAAGATAAAAATGCTCAGCATTTACCATTTCCTTTTCTTTCCCTTTTTAAGCCCCATGGTGTTAGAGATGATATCATCAGGCAATTTGGTTTGAATATGTTCCGTGCTGGACTGTGCAGATTACCCAACTAATGACATGCATACTCCTTGCCATTGTGACACCTCTCATCTCACAAGTGGGAATTTCAAGTGACAAACTAAAGCTGTTTGCTATCAATTTTGCAAAAAAAAAAACCAAAAAACCCACATCTGCCAGATAGCCAAGATTTAGTTCAGAGACTGAAATCAATTAATATTCTAATTTGTTACCTGTCATTAGCGTCACACTATATTATGCCAAGTCAAAAGTGATAACCTTTATATAACATAGGCTCCTAAAGGAATTTGATTTGGGGGATATGTTTTGTGTTTAATGTTATTTCCATTAGAAATTTCAGTTACACAGACAGTAAAAATGGTGATAGATTAAAACGAAATATGTCTCCTCTAGATTATGGATCTTCCTGCTGACAATGGTAATTACTGGCAACTATGCTGAGAGTCTCTCAGATGAACTTGAATTTGTTAAAAGTAGGCAGGTCAACAAATTGTTAGTCACTAATGGACAAGAAATTGATTCCGTGTATTTTTTTTTTCCTCGCTTGGTTTCTCAATGTCCTTATAAAATAGTTTTCTTATAAATTGATAAATCTCTCATCTGGATTACTACAATGTCCTGCTTTATCTTCTGCCCTTGCCTTTCTAGAGCCCATTTTCAACACAGTTGCTAGAGTGATCTTTTAAAAAACCTGAGTCAGATCATGGGACACCTCTGCTCAAAACTCTCCAAAGCCAGTTTATTTCACTCATAGTAAAATCCAAGTTCCTTAGAGTAATGCCCAAGGCCTCACATGATAGGGCATGTGCTACAGTGTGAAGTTACCTTCTGTCACCCTCTACCTCATTCATTCTACGTAAGGCTTGTGGGGCTCCTTGCTGTTCCAAGCAGATTTTTGCCTAAGGGGCTTTGTCTGAAATTCCCAGATTTTAAAACTTCCTCCTCCACTCACTCCAGGGTTCCTTACAAAAGAAACCAGCCCTGGTCATCCTAAAAAAATAACGTTTTACCCACTATGCCTGTCCATATTCCACTTACTCTTCTTTAGTTTCTCTTTTTTTTAAAAAAAAATTTGTATTTAAATTCAATTAATTAACATATAATGTATTACTAGTTTCAGAGGTAGAGGTCTGTGATTCATCAGACTTATATAACACCCAGAGTTCATTACATCACGTGCCCTCCTTAATGTCCATCACACAGTGACCCCATCCCCCACCCCCTGCCCCTCCAGCAACCCTGTTTGTTTCCTATGATTAAGAATCTCTTATGGTTTGTCTCACTCTCTGATTTCGTCTTTAGTTTCTCTTATATCATTTCTTACCACATGAGTTACTGTATATATTTGCGTCTTTATTGATTTATTTCTTCTTTTCTCACTTAGAGTATAAAACTTGTGAAGCCCAAAACGTATTTTTCTTGCATCTGAAAAACTCTCTAGTTCATCAGAAGTGTTCAAATCTGAACAGACCAACCTATGGTTTCAGCTTTAAAGGCCACCGATAGAACCTAGTGCTGCGCTCATACACATACACTTTGGTACAGGTGGTGGTTTGTTGTCCTGATCAGGACAAAGAAAAATTTAAAAACTGTGCAGAAGATTTTGAAATAATAAAAGGAAATCAAGCTTGCAATATCTGGAAAGTACATTTTAGCCATTGCTTAGGAATAATCTTTACAATGGAATAATTTCATGAATACAAATTTAAAATATATATGGCACAACTCATAAACATGAATATTCTAGAGAAAAGCAGACATTGAAAAAAAATACCTGCATTAAACACAAGATACAATTTGTTTTTTATAACCTGGGCTTTGATGTATAAAGTATATTTAAATATTTAAATTCCATTTCTAATTTTCCATTTTATTATTGAAATGCTACCATGCCAAGAAAAAAAAAATCTAATGTACGTTTATAATATGTTAAGAGAACTGCTTTTTTGTGTTCCCCAAGAAAGAGGGAGAAAATGTTAAGTCTGTGTCTACAAACTCTGTCCAAAATAAAGATATCACATAAAAAAAAAAAAAAAAGAAAACTGCTTTTTTCCCCCATGGGTAAGGTCATTTTCAAGCATTTGTTTTTACCCTACCAACCAACCATATGTAGTAGTACTCACATGGAATTTTATGCAGCTCATTCATAAACTTCTCCTTCAGCTTAGAAAAGGCATCTTCCTTTCCTTCACCCGGACTCGCCGGCTCTGTGGCGTTATGTGGGAGAACCGTTGCAACAGTAGTGACTGGCGGGGCGGCCAGCGCCTCATGATGACTCTCGCTCACCATTTTAAGTTCAGGTGGATCTGAGAGGGGAGGGAAGCAAAATAAATAAATAAAGAAAAGAATTCAAAATGGCTTAACTGATCCCACATCAAAGGTACACCAGAGATGAAACACATCAGAAGGTGCACCTGCTCACTGGGTAAATAGTCTATCATTAGCATATTACTTTATGTCAGTTCATAAAGTATTTATGGAACCACCATGGAGAGTCTTTCCCAGAAGGTAAGATCAGGCGTACTTACTGAAAACATTCTCCTAGCAATAATAGGTGAGCTGTCAAATCTATTAGTTGTTTATACTGCCAATTATTTACTGTGCAGATTTAACTTCCAATCCATATATTACAGAACTGTGGATGAAACATTTGCTGACAACATACATGCTCTATGCTCTCAACATTTGTATTTTATAAGAGGACAGAAAGATAAAATATTTATATTGAAAATGTTGATGAATGATAGCACGCATTCAATATATTAGTGACTTTTAAGATGGTTGTAAGCGATGCCCTTACAACATTGATACTATAAGGTGTCATGAGTGTCAAAGAGAAGTTAGTTCTTGAATCTCATTTATTGATGGTCCATTTTCCTCCCAATCATTTTTTTGTTTTTTTGACATTTACTGTGGACAATATTGGGATCAATAATTCACTTGTCTTGCTGGGTAAATGTTTGAAGCCACTATAAATGTGGCATGATTGACTATATGTATCAAGGAACTGATGATGAAACATGTCTTGTCTGTCAAATTATTTGTTTATTCAATTTGAGTATATTATTGAAATATTCTATTAAATTAACTTATTCAATGATTTTAAGTGTTTGTTTACCTCCAAAGCATTAAAAAAACAATCCATAAGGTAATCAATGAAAAAATCTTTGCCTTGTATTCAGAAGACCTCAGTTCTAGTCCTCTTCATAGCTAAATGAATTCTGACAAAGCATTTGACCTCTTCATTTATCTGCCTTCAGAAATACGAAGAATGAAACCTGCCCTGCCTAGATTTTTCTTAGTACATGTGAAGTGCTCTATAAATGTAAAGAAGGCATTCTAAAGAGATAGGCTTGAAGTCCTATTCTCCAATCTAAACATATTCTGGACTTTCATAATTAATTGTACTGTGTGCCTTAAGATTTCAGGCAGTGCTGGCAAGAAAGGGGACAGGGTTTGGGGCAGAAATAGATAAACACGAACACGTCTGGGCAAAAGTAACTTTACAGTCTCAGCAGGAAAGTTGATGGACCTATAAAGCCCTTTTGATTTGCAAAGAAATGGAGATAACCAGCGAACAGACCCGGGATTTTTATAAAATTAAAATCTTTTGTGAATTAATTATGCATACTTAAAATATTTAGTGGAAGTATAATTGAAAGCAGAATAATCTCAGATGTATGGAATTATTATTAGAATCTGAAACAAAATCCAGAGATTTTTGGATCCCCTGAAAGGAGATGATGCCTGAAGCTAATATATACACACAGATAATCATTTTCATTTTATAATATGTTCTCTCTTTAAAGCTTTTAATTTTCCACTAGTAGCTACTAATAAAACCTGAAAGGGGAGTATCAGAAAGATGTGGACTCAAATCTTCTCTGTTCTTTAGTTTCTTCATTCGTAAAGTAAGAATAATCATACCAAAGACGTAAGGTTTTTGAGTATGCAATAAGATAATCTATGCAATGAATTTAGCACTCTAGCAATCCATCAGTCAATCGATCCATCAGTCCTCCTGCCTCCCCTCCTTAGGAATACTTGGCAACCCAGAATTTTCCAGATTGTGGAAAATTGTATTTTTCCAACTCAAGGTCACTTTCTAAAAGGTTTTCTTGATTTTTTTGTTTATTCTGTTTAGCTTAGGATCTGTCTTCCTGCAAAAAACTGGAGTCCTGTTTGCATAACTTAGGTGAAATTTCGATACTGATAATACTATAAATTTTTTATATTTCGTGTGCGTCAGCAGGACTAAAATTATATACAGATACATACACAAACACATACATATGTATGAAATATTAGTATGTATGTATTCAAAAATTGAATTTGGTACTCTGCTGTGAGAATCACCAGATATGATACGCATTATTACTTATCTCCACAGGATATTTGAGGGATCGTGGTTTACTCTAGGATTTAAAAGAAATTATTGCATTAAATACAAATACCTGTATACAACAGTGCCATCATTAAATTAAAAGTATGTTGTCTAATTATGCTTTGAATCAATTTTTGTCGTATTCTGGAAGTGAGACACTGTTGCTAGTTACCTGCACTCATCAGCTGCTGCCTCAAAATGGCCACACAATTGTTTCTGGCCTTTGTGCACACGGATGGTTGGGTCCTTTGCCCTTCAGGTTGTTAAATATTTTCACGTTACTCCAGCTTATAATGGAATATAAAACATTTCTACATACAAGTTGAATGATCTGAAAGGCTATTTAAAAAAGACTTCTCTTCAGTAGTGTCAACATCTAGAAGATGGACTTGAATATATTTTTTTTAGAGGCAACAAATGTTTCTATAATTTCCAAAAACAATCCTCTTCCGATATAAGGTGTGCTTTACAAGTGTTTTATCAAAACAGGTAAAAGCTATACACTTTTAGCTGTTACTAGTCAATGATATTATCTGTATCATTTCTGATATTTTTAAATCAAGGAAAGGTTATAAATAGAGACAGTGCTCCTTTTACTTAATGTATACCACTGTGAAATTAAAGTCTTTCATAAACAAAAATATAATGGGCAATTCAGGATCTAATATACTGACAAAGACTAATTGCTTGCTTAATATTTTCTTGTCTTTCATATTTTGAGAGATGATGCTGTTTGTAAATAACAAAACTAAGAACAGTGACATGGCCCTTGAACTTATGTTTGTGGAAATAAGATGCTGATTTCTAATTTTCCATCACTTCATAGATGGAAAAACTAAGTATTCGGTTCTGCCTAATGTGATAACCTTATATTCTTTTATGTAGCATTGTTTGCTTATTCAGAAAAAGTTTATATTCTACTCAAGTCTTGATAAAATAACAGCCAAAAGTTACTGATACCCGCTAAGTGGTATAGATATATGAAAACCTACAGTTCCCACGTCACTCCCCGGAGAGGTGTAATCATCACCCATTTAACGGTGAGGAGACTAAGGTATGCAGAGGTTATGCAGTTGATCCAAAGTCCTACAGTAGTAATTAGTAGAGTTGGAATTTGAACCTAGATGTCTCAGCCACTATAGCGTTAGGGACTGTGAGACAAGTGTCCAATAAAGTTGTGGTTTTTGAAGAAGTTTTTGACTGTAACCCATAGTAAGAAGTACATTTTACATTGTGCGCCAGCATACAGGCTCTCGCCTCCTAGATGTTCTATACGGAACAAAAGCTCGGCAGAAAAACACTTGTCTTCACTATGTGTGAAATATTCCTATATATTTAATTCTGTCCTTTTTCACTAAAAAGTTCTAGTTGTACCCCCAGATTGGATACACTGGTTTCACAATCCTCTAATGGTTTGAGACCCACAGTTTGGAAAACCACTATAGAAAGGGACAAGGGAAGATACAATAAAACTAATGGAGCTAATGAAAACTAAAGATGCCACTTATTAAGCCACTGTGTGCCAAAATACTGTCCTTGGCATAATATTCTGAAATCTACGCAACCTTGAAAGGCAACTCAGTCCCAGTTTACAGGATAAACTGGGCTGCGGAGAGGTTAAGTGATTTGACCAAAAAAGATTTAGCCTAATTCAAGGTTCTTTCTACTAGCCTCCTCTCATAATAACACTTATGTCTTATTAAACAATTAAATCAGTATTAGAAAGATAGTTATGCTTTTATTTTGAATTGGTTTACGAGTAAATGGAAAACACAAGTCCTCTTGCCAATGGGAAACAGATTGCTTAATTTTAGAGATGTAGTCATTTAATTGGTTAAAGTGAATTTGGCATCCTGAGGTATGTCAAGAGAAATAATATTGAATAGAAAAGTAAATTCCCCTCTAGGAGAAAGTTCAGTACGAACAACATGAGCAAGCAATTCTCCAGGAAAGAAATACACAACCCTGCTGATAGATAAAAGGTGTTTAATTTCACAAATAGCCAAAAACCTGAAAGTTAAAATAACAATGAGCTAATATATATTCATTTGTAAATGTGGCTAAATGTAGATATGAAGGGGAGGGTTCAGAAAAGTGAGCAATTGGGAAAGACCATAGAGTAGAAAAATACTTTATGGTGGCCAAAGTAACAGAACATATAAAAAGCTATAGAAATGCTCATTCTTTTTTCTGGGAATTCACAATAAAGGATTAATCTGAGGTGTACAAACAATTTAAGGATGTTTATTGTAACTCTTTTGTCATATTAGAAGAGCAGAAACTAACAGAGACTTTTTAAATTGTGGTAAATCATAAAATAAAGTTACTAAAATTACCTTAGCAGTAAATATTTACAAACCTAGAAATACATTAGAGTGTTAGATGAAAAAAACAAAGTATGAAACAATAAATAAAGTATGTCCAATTTTTCTAAATAAAAAACTCTTGTAAAAGAGGTTGGAAAGATACACTTAAAATGTTAAACTTGTGGTAGAATATTCACTTTTTTGTGTATGTTTACATATTTTAAATTACACAAAGAAAAAACTAACACTGTTTGCTTTTAAGAAAAACTGGATCTTGGCATTCAACCTCGCGCGCCGCTGACGCCCGCCCGCCCGACGTGCACTCCCGATTCCTTTTGGTTTTAAGTCCAAAATGGCAAACTCTCAAAGATCAGCTGATTCAGAATCTTCTTAAGGAAGAATATACCCCCCAGAATAAGATCACAGTTGTTGGGGTTGGTGCTGTTGGCATGGCTTGTGCCATCAGTATCTTAATGAAGGACTTGGCAGATGAACTTGCTCTTGTTGATGTCATGGAAGACAAACTCAAGGGAGAGATAATGGATCTCCAGCACGGCAGCCTTTTCCTTAGAACACCAAAAATTGTCTCTGGCAAAGAT